AGCTCATGTCTGGATTCTGGCAGTCCAGCTCAGCCCCAGATGCCATGTTCCTGCAGGTCCAGGTACGCCTTCCAGTCCTGCTCCCCTCTCGTGCACGACCTGCTGCTCCATGGCAAAGTGACTGCAGAGCTGTGCCTCTGCTTTAGTAGCACTGCTGGTACTGCACCTGGTGGCTCTAGAGCTGGGTCTCCTGGGAGTAACTGATGTCAGCACATGAGGAACCAAAACAAATTGCACAGTCATTTGACTAGGAATTAGGATGGGAGCACGACCCATGTTTGCTGCCTCTGCTAGCCCTGTTCAGAATACACTTTGAGAGATGTCACACATCCTTTTTGTAACATCTCTCTGCATTGCTCAGAGAAGTTTGCCTCTGATCTGGTGTCACACTCCCCTTCTCTCCACAGTCGCTTGGTTTTGACCTTTTGGCCCGCTCCAATTATCACTGGCAGCTGTGCTTCTCCCGTGCTGAGCATATACTCATGGAGGGACTTGATGAAGATGGTGGTTGTCGCATGAAGTGCTTCAGGGTCTTGAGGCAGATGAAGGAAGATGTCTGGTGTGCTGGAAATAAGCCTGTCATCACAGCTTATCACCTTCAGGTAGGCATCACCGTGATACCAAGACACGGTCTCAGTATCTGTTGCAGGGGCTTCCATCCAGTAATGTCAAAATATCATGGCGTAAATCACTGTAGCGTCTATGTAACTTCTAAGGTAACTGTCGAAACTGCAGTAGTGTTTCATTGCTTTACAGTGGCAAGAAGTTCAGTAAATATATGTTCCAAACTTCAATAAGAAACTAAAGCCTGTAGGAACATTATGATTGCAGCAACATAAATAATGTTAGAGTTGAGGCCCCTGCTCTGTTTTGACTTCACACAGGCATTGTAATACTGTCTTTAATGTGTAAGCACAGTTACCTCCTGCTTTTTGACTATCCCAGCCACCCATATCCATCTATCTATCTGGAGGAAAATTGTGCATTTGTCTTTGTGGATGTGCACCAAACAAAATTCTTAGGTGAGCATTATTTCATGAATGAGGTGCAAACTGACAGTTCTGGTGTTGATTCACCTGGGGTGGGAAGGGAGGAAAGAGGTAAACGGGTGGTAGCCTCCTCCCTGCACGTACTTCAGGGTTCAAGACAGCTTCAAACAACATTTGTGAAGAAGAGACAGAAGGCTCTGCTATGACTGTGTCCTCACATCTGACAGCTGCAGACACTGATGGACCACAGGCAGCACCATTTATCAGACAGTAGAGCAATCCTGTTTTCTGGGCCTCCATCCTCCTGGAGCTGCCAGGGAGAGGCTGTTCTTCTCCAACCTTAAAGCCTCAAGCCACCAGGCTTCCACAGTAGTTACTGATCTTTTGGTGTCCAAAACCAGATGCAATGCCAAGATTTCTCCTAAAGAAAAGGTTGTGACCATCAAATGCTGTTATAGTCATGGGGCTAATCTAAGTCAAGATAGAGTCAAAAATTGTTGACGAGGCTGGTTATAGCTTAGCAGAATGCAAGACCTCTCAGTGCCTGTAAGAACAACTTGGTGGAAAAACTGTCATAGGTAGGAGAAAGTGGAAAACCATTTAATTGTTAGTAACAATCTCCTTCTCTGGCTGAAGGAGAAGAGGTCCAGGAAGTGCTGTTGCATGGACTCTTGATCAAAATAAAAAGCTCTTTAGAAGCTCTTCAGTTCTTTACTGTGACTGTACTTCAGGCTTTTACTGCAAGAGAGGATTGGTTTACCAAACAGGAGGAATGCTTCAACATTACTTACATTTAAAAAAGAAAAAAAAGAAAAGAAAAGAAAAAACAAGAGAGAGAAACAGCGGATAAACCAGCAACTGAGCGGAGGCTTAGTGTTAGGTTTCTTCACATTATCAGGTTTCCCCTGTCAGAGGTATCCAACAATTATTATTAAACAAGACTCCACGTGAAAAAGGCCCTCTATGACAGACAAAATCCTTCCCCCAGAAGTTGTGAAAGCCTCAGAGGACCAAGTAAGCGCGCTCATTATGCTTGCCTCCATAGGAATGAAGTTCAAGATCAGGAAGTCCGAAAGACCTAGGTACATTTTGAAAGCCAACTCTATGCCTCTGGTAGACAGCTGGCAGTTAGGGATGGTTCAGTAAATGCTGAGGATATATCAGCTGTTTGTCACCTGACTGGAAGAGCAGCGCTATTTTCCTTGTCTCCAGAAACTTCATTGCAACTGCTGCCTGTGGATCTTGCTGAAGTAGTTTTAGTGTGATGAAAGGTAACTGCTCTGCAAGTCTCCAAGGAGTAGCTCTCGCAGAGTTACAGCTTGAATTCCTCACTACATCTTTTGTTCCCCAGCAACACCAAAAAAAAGTCTTTGTGGTTATTGCAGCTGTGAAAAAAAATTGTTCACATTTGAAAAGCTGTCTGAGAAGAAATTTGTCACCAATACAACTATTGCAAGGCTACTGGAGGGAAAAACTAAACCAGGCAATCCAGAAGAGTGTGGCTTATTTTAATGAAATTCTACCTCTGAAGAAACAGAGGAGTCGAAGGCTGTAGTTCAACCACGTCTCATGGCATCTGTGGATCTCTTTTTGCATCACTGAATCTGCAAAATAAAATTGGGATTCAGAGGACAGTAAGGAACTTAGCAGAATTATTGAACCCAAGATGGGTGACTTTGTACTTTAAAAACTGATTTCAGGTTGACCAAGGCAGTCAGTATGGCTTTTTTGGTACAGTAAGTGTAAATACCTCGAGAAAATTCTTCTCATTCACAGGAAAGTCTGAAAAATGCAACATGGGCAGCGTAAAAATAATACTATTAGAGCAATAATCATATGCATTTTGTTATTTTAACTATGGATTTCTTGAATGTAAAATCGCATAAAATAAACTTGGGGGAATAGAACATACCACATGCTGTAAGTATCACGTGTCAGAAAAAAACAGGCTGCACTTGACCAGAAAGCGTGCCTTGCACCTGCAATAGTTGCTTGGAATCTCAATCTGTTTGGGATGCAGATCTGTGCACATCTTCAGCACAAATACAGCTGAAGCTAACAAATAATTATGTTAATCTGATTATTCTTCTCTCCCTCCTTGCACCTACTGGCTTCTACACTTTTATAATAGGCCGTTTTCTACAGCCTAAAATGCTTGGCATTTCTACAGAGGCTCCTGTTGGAGGCTGGCAAAGAGGCTAAGATTATTTTACCAAGACCATTTTCCTTGGGCTCCTGGCCCAGTCAATGGAGAAGGGCTCCTCTGGGAAGAGATCCTAACAGGGCACATCAGAGTTGCTCCGCCTGATCCCCAGAGGAGGCTTTAGTTGTGATCCCTCTGTCGCAGAAATGTTAACACAGGGAGATAGCAGTGCGAGTGTCTCTGATTTCCAAGGCTGTCAGACATTTACCAGAACTAAAACTGCCTTAGGAAGCTGTGTGAGCCCTTGACAGAACCTCTAACACCTCTTCTCTCCCATCTGCTTCTTGCAGACAGTGCTATTCTGGACGTGTGAAAAATACCCACGCACCAAGGATTGGCGCTGCTTCCCCGAAGCCTTTCTGAGGCTGGTGCAGAAGCTGCACAAGTGTGTAAGCCAGCACTTCCTCAAGCATTACTTTGTCAAGAACACCAATCTGCTCAAATACACCAATACCAGTGACCTGGACCTGGTGGCCAGGAAGCTCGCAGTCTTCTTGGAGAACCCCGTCTTCTGCCGGGACTGAGGCAGGAAAAGGCCTCCTCACCCCAACCCTGAGCTGATCCCCCGCCTCCTCTCCCCACCTGTGGTTGTTCTTCGTGTCCTTCCAGTAGATGTTGCAGCTGGCTTTCTAAAAAAGTTGGCACATGCAGCGTGAAAGAGAAGTGTCAAGCTGGCAGCAGTGGGCGGTGAAAACTGATGGGAGGTATCGCTTGATGCCCAGCTGATCTAATTTGCTTTCAGCAGTGACAGCCCGCCTGGAAGCTACAGCCAGTGAAACCCAACTTTCTGTGTCAGTCAGACCAGGCAACTGCCTTGTTCTGTGTCTCTAGTCCTGTGGCACCTAAGCAGAAAGATGGTGCAAAGACGTCTTGCTCTGCTGCCTACCAGCTGTGTAACCTAGCACATATATTGTTGCTGCGTCCCCCTTTCTCACAAGGTCAGTGGGTTTAATTTCCTGCTTACCTCACAGGCCAGCTCTGCAGAAGAGCAGAGGAACATTTCTGAAGTGTACTGAAGCTGGAAGCTTTCTCAGAGGCACTTCGATGCCTCCATCTCCAATTAAATGGGGATCCTGCTCCAGTATGAAGATAACCATGCTGCTAGTGTTGAATAGCTCAAGGGAAGTAAGTGGAGGAACGGTGGTTTTTGCCTCCTCCTCATTTTTCTCTCCTCCACTTCCATTTTTCTTCCAGTTGCTTCAGATATGTTTTCTTCATGTTTGCCTTTGCCAGTTGTGTTAGTGCCATACAACCAGGGGACTTTGCCAGAGCAGATTTTGTTCCCACCTCTGGCTCCATCCAGCAGGCTGGAGGAGGAGCAGGTCTTTCC